CTCTTACTCTTTCTCCTCTCTCTCTCTCACATGCTCTCACACAGACACACAGTCTCTCTCACACACACACTCTCATTCTCTCACACAGGCACACACTCCTTCACACACTCTCACTCTCTCTGCCTCTCTCACACACACACTGTCTCTCTCATGCACATACACACACATACACACACGTCTTGACTACTGTGCCCTGGTCCCTGTCTTGTGCTCAGCTATCTCCTCGCCCCCGTCCTACTGCACTCTCTAGGCCACAGTTTTATTCCGTCTCCGTGCCTTTTATTTTGTGGATAAAAGTTTCAGGGCAAAGGAAACAAAAAGTGACTGGGGATGAGGAGAGGAAGGGAGGGAGAGAGGGAAGTCAGAGGGAAGCAAAGCGGAGGAAGTGAGGTAATAGAGGATAGAAACTTACCAAGATGATAAGTGCACTCCACAGTTACTGGTTTACTGCGAGCAGAGGAGTAAGAAGGGGCCTTGGGCTATGCTGGTGTGTGTGGCAATGATGGATTTACACACAAGGGTGCCAAGGGTTGTTGCCTGTTGTGGGCACCCATAGGGGCAGTGCCCAACATGATGACTCTGGTGTTCAAAGCCAAATGAATCCTTGAATTTTTCCTGGGTCACTGCTAATTTCAAAAGCATGAGATACTCAAGCGGGTCCCAGCTGATAGTTACAGGATGCATTGCTCCGTGGAGCATCTAATGGTGTCAGAGGCAGAGGTTAGTCAGCGGAGAGGGTTGGACAGTGAGGGGCCCTGTGGAATCATGTGTGTTCAAAGAGGGTTCTAGCCCAGGGGAGCATCCAGCAAAGCCATGAGTCCAGATCCCGGTGAGCAATTCCAGCCTAACCCTGAGGGTTTCTCTGGTGGTCAGTTGGCCAGGTGCCTGCTCCCCATGGAGCAGGGGAGCTAGGGAAAATTCCTCTAGCTTGAATTCAGTAGAGAAGTAAGGACTCAGGAGATCCCCAGCTGAGCCTTCAGAGGGGCTGCTGTGAGCACAGAGCACAGGGTAGGGACACTGTAAGTCGCAGCTAGTGTTGGCTGCTGTCATTGATAATTAATGAGAATGCCCCTCCTTTTCTCTTGGTTCAGAAGAAAGGCCTGGTGATGTACTTCTGAAAAACCAGCCATTGAAAACCCTGTGGAGCACAATTCTGCTCTGACACACATGGAGTCACCATGAGTCAGAGTTGACTCGACAGCAGCTGGACGCCCAGTTGGTGGAGGCAGAAACCATTGCCCCTCAATAGAAATGTCTCCATGGGAGAAATCCCCAAGCCCATTACAGTCAACAAAGGACAGAAACTTAGGTATGGAGAAGAGTTCCTGACTCATTCCCCTGGCTGACCTCCAGCGCATGGCTTCGGACCCCCTGAGAAAGGAGAGGGAGAGTTTCAACAGAGTAAAACCTTCACATGCGTTATCTAACTTAATCATTACCACAGCCCTCTATGGAAAAAAAAGGTCGCTGTCTTGCTTTCAGGAGTTTTCTCTGACCCTCATGGTGACCTCTTGGGTGTCAAAGTAGAAATGTGCTCCACAGAGTTTTCAGTGGCTGATTTTTCAGAAGTAGATCACAGTCCTCTTTTCAGAGGCACCTCTGGGTGGAATAGAACCTCCAGTCTTTCAGTTAGCAGCTGAGTGCATTAGGCATTTGCATCACCCAGGGAATCCAGCCCTCTTGGTAGGTTCTGGATTTATTTCCATTTTATGGATGAGGAAATTGAGTCCAGATTTATATTGCGAGTGAGTCAGACTAAATGCAGACAATGTCATTCCAGATCTCTGCTCTTAATCTTCATCATTAGCATCAATGCTTTGTTTATCTCATGTGAAACGGGCAGATGGAGGGCAGGTGGGGTGGAGGGTAAGAAAAGCAAGTGTGCTGATATCCAGATTGTCACATTTTTTCGTCTCACTCATTCTCTTCAGTAATAAGAACGTGAGTTGTCTTGGTATCTATAACTGCCTGAAGAGCATAGTAAATGGATGGGCAGTCCAAGTATCCAGTTGCAGACTGGTGTTTGGACTAGCATATGGGCTGAGATTTTAACCAACATAAAACGTCATAAATAAACAAAGTCCACCGATTACCCTGGTGCTTTCTTGTTTTTAAGTTCATGAATTATTAAGAGCACACTCATTTGCTGCATTCACACAGATGAAAGGGTTACCATGAGTGCTAATTAGAAAACACACACTGTTGAAAGGAGCTAATTAGAGCATTGCCCAGCTTAATAAAGCTTCGCCTGGATCGCTCAGCAATCATTCAGAGATCTTATCCCTTGGCTGACTAGCAATAAGCAAATACAAGTAGTCTCTGTATATAAAGATGTGACGCCAAGCTATCCCCATTATTGAAGATTTCTATTTCTCACCAGTCTTTCTCAGCTACCCCAAATCTTTTGATCACTAAGTCTGAAGTGGGAACATCTGCAGGCAGGGTGCAACTATCATGGGCTTTGTCTCCTGATTTCAAATAGGTTTGTTCAGACCAATCTAAGGCCTGACCATTCTGCAGTCCAATTGGGACCAGAATGCTACTGTTTTTTAAGGGTTTAACAAGCCCTGTTCATCCATGGAGACTTATCGCCAAATCTGTTACAGCACATTGCAAAGATGTCAAGTGCTCAAGATTTAGCTGTGTCTCATCAACAACATGAGGCTTTCTTGACCTACATTTTTAAATAACCCTGGAGGTAAATGTCTTTCACATTTTTTTCCAATGTTTGAATAAAATATTAATCATGGCAATCATTAAAAGAGCAAATATAAGATAATTTATTTATTGGGGACTCAGGAGTAAGGACAATACTCAGTTTTAGGAAATAGGATACATAAAAATCCACAAATTACAATTGGCCAACTACAGTGTGTTGGTTCACATACAATGCGTTCTTCACTTTGCAAAAGAATTTTCCAGTTTTTTCTAATGAGGCTCTGCTGATGCTTTCATGATGTTTGTTTGCAGATAGTTAACCCCCTGATCAAAACAGTTAAAGAATACACCCACTACCATAAATGAAGATAAATAATGTTCAATGCCATCATAAAAAGCATTAGGGAAAGGAGTTTCACTTTCAAAGATTAAATACTTTCATTTTTCAGGACAAAGCTAACACATATGGCTAGGTGTACCTGTACCTTCAATGTTAGAGTCTATAATGGTGGACCTCATGCCGTCATTGTCTCTCAGCCAAAGCCCAGATGCATCAAATTACAAAAACCCTTTTTCAGAAGAATGCCAAATAACGTCATCTCTTTCTGTAAGAGTGTTATGAAAATTTGTTTTCGAAGTATTTATTACTGGCCTTTCTCTTGGTCCAGTTCGCTGTAGAAAGCCAACATTGAATTAGAGTACCTTTGATTTCAGTGAGCCAAACCCAAAGTGTTTCTGGGGCCATTCTCATAAAATAAATGCTACAGTGCTTAATGAAATCATATGATTACTCACCATCACTTAATAGGATAAAGACATCCGAAAAAGGCAAATGAGAAAATGCTAAATGGATTTTTGTGTCATGAATTACAAGTGGCATGACAACATAATGCAAGGACATGAAAATCACTTGGTAAATTTCCAGAGAATAAGGTCATTGTTCCTCTTATCCTGGGAATAAATCTTAAGAAAAGTAATAGCATTTTGAAAATTCTTATACTCACTTAAATTGTATAAAATGCATTTTCAGTGCCTGTTTTTTGTTTTGTTTTTTTAATTGTTCTAGACCATCGAGTAGTTCTTTCCTTCTATTTTATGGGTTATTCCCTTTCGGTGGTAAATTTGAAGGCATTTTCTAAGGTGCTGGGAGTTTAAATCATTGTCTAAACACACATTGCTTCCATTTTTTTTGTTATCACTTCAGCTAAACTAAAGCAGCCCTTGCTTGGCATAAGTGGTCCGGTGATACCCCTTCCCTGCACCTTCAGAGTCCAAAGGTCCAAAGATGCTGTCTGAGGAAGGCATGATTGACAGCTGTGAGGCTTATAAGAAAATAAGGAAAGCAGTGAATATTGTGAAGCAAAAGAAATAGGAATTGTTAGTTATTTTAGATTAAAAGGGGGAATGAGCTATACCTCTAGATACATTATTAAGATAAAATGCCCGATAGATATTTCCTCTCGAGTGCTCCTCAACCATATCAAACTTAGCATGTCTAAAATTGAACCCATCAACTTGTCCACCAAATAAGATTTTTCTCCTAGATATCCTTTCATAGTGGACAGTTCCACCATCCACCCAGTTTCAGAGTACATTGCCACCTCTGATGTATATTTTTCTTTTCGTTATGGTATCAACAGATCTTGTTACCTCTATTTCTTGGGTGAAGGATGACATTTAAGATCCTAGGTAAGGTAGAGAGGCCAGCTCTTTCTCCGCCCGATGGAAAGATGTGAGAATGATTCCACCTGCCTTTGTAATGAGCTCTGATTTAAAAAAAAAAAAAAAAATTGCTGTCAAGTCGATTCCAACTCATGGCAACTCCAAGTGTGTCAGAGAAGAACTGTGCTCCATAGAGTTTTCAATAGCTGATTAGACAGAAGTAGATCACCAAGCCTTTCTTCCAAGTTATTTCTATGGGTAGACTCGACTGAGCTCGTTAACTGTACCATCCAAGTACTCTGAGCTCTGGCAAGGTGTCTTGAAAATGTGTCAATGTGCAGTGATATTTCTACCTCAAAACCTTGAAAGGTTTACCCCGTGCACACAGGGGCACTCAGCAAATGGTAGTTGTTAGTTGTGGTCGTTAGTTGCCATGGAGTCGATTCTGACTTAAGGCGACCCCACGTGGGCAGAGTAGAGCTGTGCTCCATAGAGTTTTCAGGGCCGTAGCCTTTCAGAAGCAGATCGCTAGGTCTGTCTTCTGAGGTGCCTTTAGGTGGGTTCAAACCACCAGCCTTTCAGCTAGTAATCAAGTACTTTGCCATATGCACCACCCAGAGATTTCCAGCCAATGGTTACCAAATAAAAAATGGAACTAACTGCTCTCTTTTTGTTTCCAGGTGACCTCATACACTTGCCTCCATACCTTAGAATGGACTTTTTGTTAAACCGAGGAGGTCCAGGCACCAGCAGAGACCTGAGTTTAGGGCAAGCATGCTTGGAACCTCAGAAAAGTCGGACCCTGAAGCGCCCCACAGTCCTCGAGCCAATCCCCATGGAGGCCTCCTCCTCCACCTCGTCCACGAGAGAAGGACAGTCGTGGCAGCCGGGGGCTGTGGCCACATTACCTCAGCGAGAAGGGGCAGAGCTGGGACAGGCAGCTAAAATGAGCAGCTCCCAAGAATCACTGCTCGACTCTCGGGGCCATTTAAAAGGAAACAATCCCTACGCAAAATCGTACACCCTGGTATAACAAACAGCATGACTGGACCGTGGTTGTAAATACAATTTAAAAAAACCCAATCAAAGCTACCTTTTTTTTTACTGAATTCCAATATTTATAATTAAAGAAAATTGCCAAAATATATTAAAAAAAAAAAAAAAAAGAGGAAATACTGAAACCACAGACAGTGCAAAGACTCTCCTGCTTTTTTTCTGTCTGAGTGTGAGCTCCATCTGCCTGGGCGTCTGATTTTTTGGGAAAGAAGTCCAGTTTTATGACCTTCACAGCTACTGCATTTTTACTGATTTTCTACAAAGTGCATGGGGAACGAATTAAACCTTCTGACTGGAAGTTCTATCACACAGGATTAAAGAAAGAAAACAGGAAAAAAAAAATTACCCTATTTGTGAATTTAAAAGGAACATTGATTTGGGGGAAAGGGGAAAACTTTATTCATTTTTGCACATGTTTCTTTCCCATTAGAAGCTGGGTCCTTGATTGATCTTCTTTTTGTCGTTAATTAGGATGAGTGCTGTCAGTGAAGGGGTGGGGGAAATCCATTTGATTTTCTTTTTTGTTCATTTTTTAATTTCATGAGACACTCTTTGCATTTTGTCTAAGCGAAATAAAAAAGAAAAGGTTGTCTGCCTTTATTTCGGATGTCTGCTTCTCTTGTCTCCTATTGATTGTTTGGTTCTCCTCAGTACTGAGACTTGGGTTGACAAGCACCAGGACTCAACCCAGAACCCAACTTAATGAAGCAGAGAAGATTCTGACACCATGAACTCTGCCCATAGTGCTGGGCAGGGCACAGAAGATGCAGCCCTTGCTCTCAGGCTGGAGATGGACAAAGTAGGGGCTGGTCTCAATCAAATGAGGGCTTGGCCCAAGTGGTCTACATCTCTCTTGCAAGGTTTTATTCCTTCTCCCCCTCCCTCCTTGACATGGGACCCTCTAGCTAGACCAGGGGTCTGAAAACTATGCCCCTCTAGGCCAAATCCAGCCCACTTCTGTTTTTGTAAATAAAGTTTTATTAGATCCTACCATTTACAGATTGTCTGTGGCTGCCTCCATGCCACAATAGCTGATAGTTGCAACAGAAAAGTGTGCCTGTGGTCTTAGTGTCCTAGTGCTGCTGTAACAGGAACACCCAAGTGGGTGGTTTTAAAGAACAGAAGTTTATTTTCCCACAACTCAGGAAGCTAAAAGTCCAAATTCAGGGCACTGACTGTAGGGAGGAGTCCTTTCTTGTCTATTTCAGATTCTAGTGGCCAGCGATCCTTGGAGATCCTGGCCTTGTAGACTCTGTTGGCTTCAGATCGTGTCTGTCTTCCCCGTGTGTCTGCTTGCTTGTCTCTGTGTCTTTGCTGCTTCTTGTACCATGCAGTAGTGCTTAGGTTTAGCACACACCCTACACTGATTGGACCTCATTAGCATAATAAATCATTAGCATAATAAATCCAAATAGGATTACATCTGCACGTACCGGGGTTAGGATTCCAACACATTTTTTGTGGGGGCCCCGTTTCATTCCTTTTCCCTTGCTTGGCTTCCATTTTTTCTTTTTTGGCCCACCCCGGGGGAGGTTGGCCAGTGTTTTTTTTGTTTTCCCTTTTTTGGGCCCGGTTTGTTTGGGAAGGGGAGGGGGGGTTGGGGTTGTTTTTTCTTCTTTTTTTGCTTGGCTTGCCGTCTCCAGTAGGACAGGAATGCAAATTTCCAGCAGACCATCTTAGTGCACGTGGCCTCCAATCCACTCCTCTGCCCCCGGGGAAAACTAGTCAATGCTAAGTGATGTTCCTCTGAAAGCTAAGTTTTATTTTCCTTCCTCTCAGTTTGAATCATTTACCAGCTGACTCATGCTATCAGAGACCTTACTCATAAATAGTAAGAACTGTATACTTTGTTCTGAGACCCTTACATCCTGTGCTTTCAGGAGAGGGTGTAATCTTCCCCATTCCAGCCTCACTTCCCTAAAAGGGAAGGCTAACCTGATCTCCAGGTCAAAGGTTTGGTTTTCACCAGAGGACTTGATCAAATGGCCATGGTGCTCAGTCTCTCAGGTAACAAACTAAACAAGTACCTTCCTCTCCCTTAATATTCTCTGTAGACTCCCATTCAAGCCACCAACATAGGCGCTAACAAGCCAGTTATTACCGTCTGAGTACAGGTTCAGAAATTTCTATCCTCCCTCCTCTCTCTCCCTACCTCCTTCATTCCTTCCTTCTTCCTTCCCTCATCACTCCTCCCTCCCCCCTTTCTTCCTTTCCTTCTTCCTTTCTACTTACCTCCCTTCCTCCACTTCATTCCCCCTTCCTTCCTCATTCCCTCCCCTTCCTTCTTTCCTTCCTTCCTTCATTTCTCCCTCCCTCCTCCCCTCCCTTCCTCCCTCTCTCCCTTTCTCTTTTCTTCCCTTCCTTCCTTCCTTCAATTTATTTTTGAGGCAAGCCCGTTGGCCTACTTAGCTTCAGTGACACAGTGAGATTGAAGAAGTGGTCCAGGACCATGTCAATGACCACCTGCTGGCTCTCACATAAGACAATCCGTGAATGAGAGATGTGCATTTTTTCCTTGCAAGGGTTTCAGAATTTAATCTATGTTAAAGCTTTTTGTTTGCATCCTCACAGACTGCTTTTTTATGCAAGAGATGAAATACTATTTTCTGGGGGAAAAAAATATTAAAGTTCTATCGTTCATCAATCTAAAACTTCTACATTACCCAAATTTAGAAGATTGCCTTTTTTTTTTTTTTTTAAATCTGTCTCTCAAGCTGTGCAAAAATAAAAAATTCTACCTCATAACTGCCTCTGGAATAGATTGCTTTTAAGACTCCTGCCTTGAAAATGCTCATTAAAATGAGTTCAACATGTAAACACTGTGTCAAAAAAATCCACCTACCTCTGAGGTAGGTAGGTGGCCTAGAATTACTGTCTACAAAGATGTCCAGAGCCGCAAATTTAAGGGACACTAAGATCGCTATGAGTTGGAATCGACTCAACAGTATCGGGGTTTTTTTGTTTTTATGTATTTTAAAAGCCTGTTATTGAGAGTAATAATAACTAATTTTCCTCTGGACCTCTGCCTGTCTCTAATCTGATTTATGTCTCTCTTTACAGGATTTGAGAGGTCATCTAACTAGCCCAAGTTTGGAAGCACATTGCTATATTTTAGACTGGCGAAACTCAGATAAATTCTTTATCCTCCGGACAATAGCTGTAGGGTCAATGGAAAATAGCTATAGAATTAATGGACTGGGTTTCCCCTTAGGCATCCATTTGGCCAGTTGACAACCTGAACAATGTCCACCTTCCCAAAGTGAACAAGGTCTTTTCTTAATACATAACCACTAAGTCATGTAGAATTTGCTCATACCATCTACAGTAGCCCAGTGATTCTATTTAATTCACATTTCAGCCTGGCCATTTCTTTGTCCCCACATCCACCATGGCTACTCATGAATGCCAGGGATGGAGAAGTCGGGGTGGGAAGTGATGAAACAGTGAGATGACATTAAGCTGATCACGGGCTATACTGGAGAAGCTCTGTTGTTAGTTACCATCAAGTCAGCTCTGACTCATAGCAAACTTATGTATAACAGAATGAAACATTGCCCAGCCCTGCACCATCTTCATGATTATTGCTATGACTGAGTCCATCATTTCAGTCACTGTGTCAGTCCATCTCACCAAGGGCCTCCCCTCCCTTTTCTGAGCCACCACTTTTAACAACCATGATGTCCTACATCCTATCATGTTTGTGCCCTTGTGTCTTAGTTATCTAGTGCTGCTATAACAGAAATACCAAAATGGATGGCTTTGACAAAGAGAAATTTATTTTCTCACAACTTAGGAGGCTGGAAGTCCAAATTCAGGGTGCCAGCTCCGGGAGAAGGCTTTCTCTTGCTGTGGGCTCTGGGGAAGGTCCTGGTCATCAATCTTCCCCTGGTCTAGGAATTTCTCAGTGTAGGGACCCTGGGTCCAAAGGACATGCTCGGCTCTCAGCACTTCTTTCTTGGTGGCATGAAGTCCCCCTCCTCTCTGCTTGCTTCTCTCTTTTATATCTCAAAAGAGATTGACTCAAGATACAACCTAATCCTATAGACTGAGTCCTACCTCATTAACATAATTGCATCTAATCCTGCCTCATTAACATCACAGAGGTTAGGATTTAAAACACATAGGATAATCACATCAGATTACAAAATGAAAGACAATCACACAGTACTGGGAATCATGGCCTAGCCAGGTGGACACATGTTTTAGGGGGACACAATTCAATCCATAACACCTTGATACAGAGAATCCTAATAATATCTTAAGACACAGAAAATACACTCTTGCTTAAATTACTCTTAATATACGCAATAGACCACCCTCTGACCTGGCATTGTAACTCTGATTCACTCATGCACCAAAAACTTCTTGCAATTTTTAGGGAAATGGCCGAGGTCTTCCAGATAAGCTGTGAGCTTATAAATCTATTTCCAGCAACGGTGCACAGTGTGCACAGCCTCCTGGGGCTGATGTAGAATTGGGAATCCAAGGACTAGTTCATTTTAGGTCTCCTACCCTGAAACAACCACTTGTCTGTCAGTTTGTCATACTGTGGTGGCTTGTGTGTTGCTGTGATGCTGGAATCTGTGTCACCAGTATTTCAAATACCAACAGGGTCACCCATGGTAGACAGGTTTTAGCAGAGTTTCCAGACTAAGACAGACTTAAAGAAGGACCTAGTGATCTACTTCTAAAAAAGTTGGCCAGTGAAAACCTTATGAATAGCAGTGGAACATCATGCTTGGTAAAGTAGAGGATCAGCGAGAAAGAGGACGATCCTCAATGAGATGGATTGACCAGTGGCTACAACAATGGGTTCAAACATAATAATTGTGAGAATGTAATTGTGAGAATGGCACAGGACCGGCCAGTGTTTCATTCTGTTGTACATAGGGTTGCTATGAGTTGGAATCGACTCAATGGCACCTAACAACAACAACCCTGGAAATGTTTAAAGGAACTGAACAGTGTGTCCATATTAAAAAGTCCTCTTTCATAGTCTAAAGAACGAGGTCCAGAGAGTATCACTAGCTTTCTAAAGGTCAACTGGAAAGACTAAATATCAACACTTTAATATTCAGGGCTCCTGAGTCCCATGTTACTTCT